TTCGGGCGGCATCCTCAGCATTGCGCAGCAGGGCATCGATAGCTACCTGCAGGGCGACTGGTCTGGAATCACGGGGAATCCGGTCAAGTTTGCGCTGGGGAACGTGTCGATGGTGTACGATCTGGTTTTCATGACGCAACACTACGTCCTGTACCCAGATACCGGCCCCAAGACGGGGGAGCGCGATGGACTTCTTGGCGAAGATGAGGAGCGGCGGATCGAATGAAGGGACGACCAAACACCACTGTATTATTACACCTGCACTTGCAAATCGAATTCGTGGCCCGCACTCTTCTCCTCTTCTTACCTGTCCACTCTAGTGCCTCGAGTGCGGACAACAATCGCTACCCATCGAATTCTCATTCTCATCGAGCATCAGTCGCCGCACAATTCTACAACTTCATTTCTTTTCGAGTGATTTCCGGAAGGTTAAAATGGAGCCCATGGAGCCTGACAACACTAAAAGCTTCGACACCGAAAGCTACGACAAATGCCTGGAAGACCCAGAAATCGGAAATGCCAGGCAATTTAGATTGGTCGCTGGGGGCTTGCCCGGGACGCTCTCCGACTCCCACCTCGTCGAAGAGTTCAGCAACTGGCCACACAGGGGAGACTGGGGCACACATGTTGTCCAGGTTTCTGCAGTGTCTGTTTCAAACGACCCCGAGGAGTAGAATTGCCTCGGAAGGATGTTCGGTCCCCCTGGATTTGCATTCTCCGGCCACATTGTGTGGAGGGCAGAACTCTCGCCGTTCAACGTTGGAGACCAGGTTTAGTACGTTCTTTCCCTCCAACTCTTCTGCCCGACGCATATTGGTGCTAATTACCCTTTTTCTCCTCTCCCAGCGGGCTCACGAGTACGGACCGCCCAGGAAATGCCCGAACGTACTCGATTTGTTTTGAGCGCGAGATGTGCGCCAGGCCCCGGGTCATCACCAAAGAAGCAGCTGCCCTCGTCGCCCATGACTTCTCGTGCGTGTTCGAGGCGCTGTTCAATCACTCTCTGCTCGTCGTGCCAAGCCGTGCAAGCTCCATGCAGTTCCGCCAGGTCCCTCTCATGGAAGACATGGAGCTGCCGCTGTTCAACAAGATGCAGTCTCTGATCATCAACGGCGCCGCCTCGCCTCAGGGTATGCTGGCCGTTCAGCTGGCACGCCGAGCCGGGGCGGGATATATCGTGGCGACTTGCGAAGAGAAGGACCTGGAACATGTCAGGAGTCTGGGTGCACATGAAGTTCTCGATTGCAACACTGCACCCGGGAATCTGCAACCATGGGACCGCCTGAAGTTCGATGGGGCTCTGGACTGTATCGGCGGGGAGGGTCTGGCGGCTCTCTACGGGGCGGTGCGTGTGGGTGGGAGAATTGTCAGCACTGTCAGCCTGCCGCAAGTATATACCCGGGATGTCGACAGCAAGTCGGACATGAAGATCGTGCAGTCGCGAGTCGTATTGGGAGCACGATGTGGGGGTCTCCTCTGGTGCTCCTACATGCTCAACCGTGGATGGCTGACTATGCCAAGATATCACGATGCTATCTTCGACATCAACGAATGGGAAGCTGCGCGACAGAAGCTGAAGACATCCGGGTTGACTGGCAGGGTAGCCTTACGCCTTCCCAACAGAGACCCCATGCTGTTGATCGAAAAGTTGAGAGAAAAAGGCCTGAGCAATGAGGATCATTCGGATCCGGCTTCATCTGAGGCACCAGAGTCTCGTTCGTCTCCACAAGAATCGGATCCGGCTTCGCCTCCAGGGGATGTAACCTTGCCGTCAATAGAAGCCACCACAACGTCTCCGGCGTCACCACCAGGAGATGCAACATCGCCGCCAGCAGAAGGTGCCCCGTCACGAGAAGTTGCCCCGCTACGAGTGCATGTACTTGCCCCGTTACGAGAAATCCTCACGTCTTCGGAGGAGAGGGGGGTGCCTGAGGATTTGAGGGACATCACGATTCGCGAATGCCGCATGAGCACCCCAGACGCAGTGGCAGCGATGCAACAGCATCGGCAGAAGGAGACCCGACCGGAGGCAAGCAGAGAACGAGGAATGCTCAAACGTGCAGAGCTCTGGGGGTTTGCAGTCCTGAAGATGTCAAAGAAAGGGCTTGAGGCCCGCAAAAGTGCTAGGCGTATGTTGGCTATCGAGGCTGAATTGGCCAGATTCAGGGAGGAACTGGCCAGAGCCAGACTTGAGGAGGAATTGGATGCAGCCAACAACAGGCCGGCGGCAGAAGAAATGGAAGTCGAAGCAGGAGGTAAAGCGCGAGGTGAAGCAAAAGAAAGAGAGATCCTGAAAAAAGAGGACGCAAACTATACAATGTCCATCAAATTGGGTAAAGAGAGGTTGACGAGCGCCGAGGTGAAGGAGGAGTGGGAAGTGGCACCGAGAATCAGTTACCAATACGACCCCGACGACGAGGTGGACCACTACCCCGGAACCTGGATGTTTGACGGTGCCTTGGATAGTCTCGTCAAGGACAAGAAGGGGGTCGCAAAGAAAGCAGACACGACTCCTCTTTCGACAAACACGGCTCCCCTTGCGCCAGACACTCCGACGATCCCGACCGTCAGCAGTCCTCCTCGTATGTTGGGGCCGCGGAAGCCTCAACCCACTGCCATGGTTCCGTATCCCAGAGTAACCAGCATCAAGGGGTATCTTCCCGACACCCAATCCCAACGGGCCCGTAAGCGTTGGCGGGAGAGGCCGCATGGCTATTTGCCTCCCACACGGCTCAAATGGGTTGTGCTCAGCTCAGCTCTAGCTCCCACATCCCCACCTCCCGAATCGCCGCCTCCCATGTCTCTGCCTAGGGCACTGTCGCCTTCCCTATCACCACCTTCACTGTCTCTGCGTTCCACGCTACCGCCATGCCCCCCGACGCAGCAGCAACAGGCTGAGCTGAGCGACACTCTGCCTCCCACGTCGCCGCCACGGCCCTCGGAAAAGCAACAAGAGGCCGAGTTGAGCGAAGCTCTGACTCCCATGTCGCTGCTACGGCCCTCGGCGGAGCAGCAACATACTGAGCTGAGCGAAGCTCTGCCGCCCCCAGCGCTCGACATCCCCAACCCGCCTACTGCGAGAACATTCGCCCTGGTGACGGGACCATTGCCCTCGAATACCCACCTCATGTCAAGCCCGTTTGGGCACGGCCACCAGGGCGACTGGCGGCCTATCGCCGAGGCTCCAGTGGTGTCTGACGACGCAGACTACGATTCCGACAACAGGAAAGAGCTCGAGGCGGCCGCGGAGCGGACGTTGGAGCAGATAGAGGAGGACAGGATGTGCTAGGAGCTCATCGAGGAAACGGAGGACTATGAAGGCGAGGGCGACGAGGACCTTATCGTGGGGTGGCAGCGAAAAACATTTGTAAGAATCTTCAAAGAAGCCGGCATGCAGACTCCAACGTCCGAAGACATCAACCAGATCGTGGAACTTGCGCTCTTTGACACGTTCGCCCCCGCCGGTCTCAACAGAATTCGCGGAGATACTCCCTCTTCGCCATTTATGGACGCCATTGTGGCTGATGTACCGCCAGGGGATTGGGATGCGGATGAAACCGCTGTCCCGAACAATTCCGGCGGTTGCGAGCCCGCCTTCGTCGGTGAGGAGAAGGAGGATGCTCTCTTTATCCAGCGCGAGTTTCTGTTGAATTCGAAGTGGCTAGCAGGGACCGGGGAGCTTGCACCAGATTCGTTCACGCGCGGCATGAAGCCGGATGACCCATATTTGCCCCTCGCGAGAGCGGTGCTCGAGAGGATGCAGGTGGAGGTGCAGGTGATGCCATGGAGTGTGGAGACAAGGGAGATAGCGTTGGCGCAATTGTATGATCTGGAGACGTTCCTTCTGGAGGACCCTTCGGTCATCCAGAAAGCTGCCACCCAGAAAGCTGCCCTGGCAGCGCTCGATGCTGGAACATTGAGTCCCCCCAAGAGCCCTATTCTCGCGAAAAAAACTCTTCTTCCCGGCGCTCCCACATCCTCCGCTTCAACCCCCCCTACGAATGCTCCTCCTACCCTAGCGGAGCTTTATGGCCTACCCAAGGGGTTCTCCGGGACGGATGTGCCTGTTTCAGCCGTTGAAGGGAACCAGTTGGGGGATCAGTTGGGGGATCAGTTGGGGGACGTGATCATGACCGACTATGGGCCCGGCAAGAAGCCCAACTTTGAGACGGAATTGTCTGTCATGAGCCTCCACGACTTGAATCGCATGTACATCGGGGGGTTCACTGGGGTGCGGTCATATCCTGTCTCGTCATCTCCTGTCTCGTCATCTCCTGTCTCGTCACCTCCTGTCTCGCCGGATGAAGGCAACGAGATGGAGGTCGACTACGGTGATAAAGCAAATGCTAGCAAAGGCAATGAAGCAAATGCCAACAAACGCAACGAAGACAACGCTGATAAAGGCAGCGCAATGGACGTCGACAACCGCAATACAATGGACGTCGACAAGGGCAATGCAATGGAAGTCGACAAATGCGGAGGCGCAGGAAACGCAGCTTGCGATTTCCTACAGCAAAAGGTCGATGACTTGGATCAGGTGGTGCTCGGTATTGCGGAATGCGTGGACGATGGTGTTTCCTCTGAAGAATTGACTTGTATACAGCATGAACTTGCTGAGGTGCGGGTGTACGTTTCGGATATACGAGAGACGCTGGGGGTTGTGGTGAACGTCGCGAAGGGGAGGACTCTGGATGTGGTGATGAAGCTTCGCGAGGAGCAGGCCAAGATTTTTACGGCGCTGACACGGTTGAGGGCTGAGGTTGCGGCGTTGCAACAGTTTTAGGGTAGGGTATTGAGTAGAGGTTTGGCATGGTAGTATCCTGGTAGAGGGTAGATTATGAGTGGCAGAAGTGAAATGGAATGGGATTTGTGAAGAAATTGGTGATACCGGCCGGATGTTGTTTGTAGCGTTGTATATGTAAGACAGGCGAGTAACTGCTCGGAAGGAGCAAGGGCCAAAAAGGGGGAATCCAACACCCACATTGAAGCAGGAGCAAAAATGACAAGGGTGAGATTCGAACTCACGCCCATTACTGAGACCAGGAAACGGAAATTCAGGTGATCCTGAACCTGGCGCCTTGGACCAACTCGGCCACCTTGCCTGTGGATTTTGTTGTTGTTGGGCGGGTGGTTGGAAATGTTAGTGAAGGCGGGGGTGCGATGGGGTCGAGTTTGGTTTGCGAAAACTCAACCTTAGCGGATATGAGACCCGAGTCTTGGCATTTGACTTATTTTGGTAAGGTTTTGCAAGGTGATGGGCTATTGAGGGGGGTGGTAGAAAAGAGTGAAGGTCGTGATGTTGAAGTTGGGGGTTTTTGGAGGTGTGGGTGATTTGGTGGATGGATCGCGACTTGGGGGGGCCATCGTCAAAAAGAAAACAATGCACAAATACAAAACCAACCGAGAGGACGTAGAGTGTATGTATGAAGCGAAGGGTTTGTTTGCTCGAGAGAATACTATGGTTTGCAAAAAAGGGGGCCGACAAACAACGGACTTGTCGAAGGCCGCCTGGTGAACGCGCCGCGATCTAAGTTCATAAATGCCCGTCGAGGCGATAAACTCTGTTGCACCCTGCAATCCCATCTCGTAGCTACCTTCCAATAAAAATACACACTCCCATTTTCCTCGTGTTTTCTATGTTCGACATACATGAAATATCACAGCATCATCGATCAGCCCACAAAGAATTATACAACCTCAATATCGCCTTGGCAAAAAGCAACGAGGCGCCAAAGTTGAAATCTACACATAACAAAATTCTACAAAACAAAAAATGGACTCAAAAATGATCTGCCGCCGCCCTTTTATCCCAACGAAACGCCTGCCTGCTGCTGCCCGAAATGCGCATGCGCATGCGAAATGCAAAGTTGTATGCGTCCCCAGGTCCGAGAGTCGCCCCTCAAACTCTGACTTGAACCCCTCACCGGGAAGGTCCCCTTCATGCAGCACAAAAATTGCCCTGCCTTTTGCTATTAACCCACCGACCCCCCTTCCCCCCCTTTCTAAAGCCCGCCCCAATCATAAAGAAGAGGGTGTTGTGCCGTCGGTCGGCACCGGTTGTGGTATGATTCCGTGCGACCCCTCGTCACCACTCCAACGCCACCCTACTTCCACCACTAAGGGTTCGTGGACGCGCTACCATTCATCCACCCGGGCAGAACCTTCCAACCCTTTTCGTTGGGACCGAGGGTAGAACGACCAAAGTGTTCGTCCAAATCGAGGAGCATCTTCAACGCGTTGCGAGAGCGAGTGAAGGGACTATCCGAAACCTTCTCCTTCAGCGAGGTCATGACCTCGGCCATGCCAGCCTTCTCCGGAGTACCACCCGGATACGGCAGCATGGTCTGGAGAACCTCGTACGCCGCGAGGGTGAAGCCGAACTGCGGCGAGGACCGCATGATTCGGGCCGGGCCGCCCTTGAAGAAGGCGCGGAAACCCTCCTCCTTCCAGATGGTCCTCGCCGCGTGCCTCAGGCCGGTGTAGGCCGTGTCGCCCTTGCGGGCTTCGACCTGCAGGCGCGTCTTGATGACATCGCACGGCGTTGTCAAGTACGCGGCAGGCATGCCGGCGATGGCACCTGCCGTCAGAAGCTGCAAGACGCCGAGCTTCTTTGTCTGCGACTCGCCGAAGAGGTCGCTCTTCAGGTGCGCGTAGGCCGGGAAGTAGATGGCCGAGAAGGGAACGTCGCGGAGCAGGCAGGCTGATGCGCCCTTGTACAGTCCGACCAGACCGAGGTTACGGACGATCCACATGGCAGAGCGCTTCGGCGCGCCATCAACGCTCTTGGCGACTTCTCCTTGCACCTGGAGGCGAATCTTGACGATCTCGAGGGGGTTTGTGAAGACCTGTCGCATCGCTGTCAGCATTATTGTCTTCAAACACCACAAGGAAGGCATCGTCACATACGACTTGACAGGCACCGGCGCTGCCACCGGCAACCAACTCCCAACCCCACCAGATCTTTCCATCCTTGGTGAACTGGCCGCGAACGAGGTCGTTCACTGTCAGCTTGATGGCCTTCTCTGGTGCGACACCAACTAGCTGTGGCAGGACACCCGAATACAGTCCGCGGAACCCCTCATTGCGGATCACCTTCCTAAAGCAGTCGATTGAGTTGTTATACAATCGCTGTCCAGGATTGCCACCGCCTCTTTGGTTTTGCATTCTCGTCTTGACCAGATCAATCGGGTACACCATGAAAGCGCCAAACGCACCCGCAATGCTGCCGAGAGCGAAGCCATAACCCGACTGCAGCGCTTTGCTGCCAAACTTCTGGAGAGTAGTTTGCGCCTGAACCAAGGGCTGGCTCTCGTCTCCCTCACGACTTCTCCAGGACGGGTCAAGGACCTTGGCGAAGTCTTTGAGGCCAAGTCGGCCGGAGGGCTCGTCGAGGCTGGCGAAGTGGAAGAGAATGTCGGCCTCCATGGGGGTGAACAGAGAGAAGCGGGTGATCTTGGCGGCCTGGTTCAGGAACTCCGTTCTGGTGATCTTGCCGTCGGAGCTCTTGGCGCAAGCGCGTCGCAGGATGAGTTCTACAAGATCCATCTCCTTGATCATGTTCTGGAAGGCGCGCACGTTGGCATACGACACTTTGCTGCCCTGGGAGATGTTGCACAGCGTGTGCAGGTTCTCCAGCAGGTGATCAGAGAGCTTATGCTTGGAAGTTTCCATGATAATGCGCTCAAAGTCCTCAGGCTCGATGTAGCCATCACCGTCTGTGTCGAAGCGCAGGAACGCCTGTCGGATTCTCTCGCCCTGGAGGCCACGCAGCATCTGAGAGAACTGCTGGTAGTCCATGCTATGCCTCTTGGTCTTGCAGCCGATATACAGCTTCGCCCACTCGCAGTCCCAGTCGAAAGGGATGCTGTCGGGACCCTTGTTCAGCTCGTACAGGCGTCGGAAGTCATCGTACTTGACGGTGCCGAGGCGCTCGACATCGAAGAGGCGGAATGCGATCTCGTACTCGGCGTCGGGCTTGCTCAGGAGGTTCTCGAAATACGCCCAGTCTCCGAGGGTCACCTTCCCGCTATGGTTGCGGTCGGCAATGCGAAACAGAATCGAGTACTGTTCCCTCTTGATCTTGTGCTGTTGTCGCAATATGTAGGTTAGTCACAATTCGCGCAATGAGTCAAATCAGCTGGGAATGGATAATTGACTCACATAGTCTTCCTCAGGGGGCGCGACAGCATTGATGAACTGCTCGGGCCCCAAGAAGAGCTCGCCCGACTCTGCATCCTTGATGGCGTGGCTGTTGAAGCGGGCCTTGGTCTGCGTCGAGAGCTGCACCGGCTCCTCCGTGCCGATGAGGCTCTCCTTGACCACCTCCTTCACCAGGGCGACCTTGGACATTGCGAATATGTCCTGAACCTTGCCGGCCCAGAAAGCTTGCTGTACCGATTACTCCGAATGCCAATTGGTGAAGAAGAGCTTCCGTCGGGAGGTTTCGGCCGAGCTGGTGATGGGGGATCAACGCGATGATTGCGCACCTGCGGGGTAATACAGCTGCTGGATGCGCCTCTGCTGGGAACTTGCTGGTGCCGGAGATGAACAAGGCGGTGAGTCAAACCCTCAATGGTCCTCAGTACGGGTCTGCCAGATGGCGCGAAAACGTCGATATCGGGGTGGAGAGAAAGGGGAGAGGGAAAAAAAGACCGGTCTGTCACGCGGGAGAATGAAGCTTGCTTGGCGCGAATAAACGACCGAATTCTAGAACCCTTGGACTCAAGAATGCGCCAACCCGCATTCACTCAGATGGCCCGACGGTGATGAATGGAACGAACGGACGAACTGGCCTGTTGCTTGCCGGACCGTGCAGACGAGATTGTGGAGGTGGAGATCTGGGGGAGATTGGGATCGTGAAGTGGTCTTTCGTGGAGAGCCGCCGACCACCGGCCAGCATCAAATCAACTTTTTATGGGTCCAATTCAAGTTTTTTTTCTCACGTCTTTCCCGAGCGCAAGGACGCCTCCGTTACACAACAGGTGAGTGGGGGGCCAGATGAATGCACGGACCCCCTGATTCTCAGATGACATGCTGGCAAACGGCGTGTCAGCCACAGCCTCGGAATAATCGCAGTGGCGCTTACGGCAGGTCCCGAGGAAAGGGAGGGTGGAAGGGATGGAAGGCACCACATTGGAAAGCTTGGTTGCGATGATCACTGCTGGAGTCTGGATCGCATGCGAGCCTCGAGTTGCTTGGCTTTTTTTGGTGGCTGGATACCTATAGATAATGTGCCCACTCGCATGTGTTCGTGTGGGCCATTGGGAGACGGCGATCGAGACTCCTTGACGCTACGGATGACTTGCACCCCGACCACCCTATAGTTAGTGGAAGCCAGCCTGCGAGATGAAAGACCTGGCAAAGATACACACCTTGTGTATATCGTGACGGAGGACGATGCCACAAGCGTACAACAGACAGGCACAGCGGACTGCTGTGGCGGCTGCCCAATACAGTTGCAAGCTTTCGTCACAAGCAAACCAAGGCAGTGGGACGGCTGGTGCGACACATGGTCACGCAAAGTTGCAGCTCAGCCTTCTTGGGATGGCGATGCATGTCACCTGGGCCGACGGGTGTTCCCCGAAGCAACAGCGTGTAAGCACTTTTCTTGTCATTTCTATTGTTGACCTACTACACCAGCTGGCCTTGAAACAGCCCTGGGATGATTAGTATTTCCCATTTTCGTAAGGAAATGAAAAGATCCGCCAATGCCCAAGCGCCATCTAAGTAAAATTATAAAGGTACACATGTTCGATCCTCTAGAGAGTAATCTTCAGAGGCAGTCTGTGCCATATCCCGTAAGACTCCGTGTCCCTTCTGATTGTCCCAGCCCTGCTATGCCCAGATTGCCAAACGCCGTAAAAAACTGGCCCGCCGACAACCAGTGCCCGTGCCTCCTCGCTAGGAAGTCGAAGCGAAACTATAGGGGAATCCGAGTCGCAAAAGAAGAGATGTCGTAAGTCTCATCACGTCATCAAAAGTCGATAGCTTATCGTGTCGTAAAACATCGGGGTCGAGATCCTGGACTGTCCAGTAGCCAAGATGGCTACGCTTTCGCGTGGACGATCCCGTCAAACAGTGGTTCTCAGAGATAGGTTCGCGT